GATTGCCTGCTCTTGTGCTTTTAAAAAGTGGTTCTTAAAAACTGACCAGCACTCGTGAATCCCTAAGCCCTCCAAGGCAGATTCCCAGAGGACACTGCTAAGTAGCTCCCTTAACAGCTTCAAGTTTGCTCTCCTGAAATCCAGGGTAGCAACTCTACTGCTCTGATTTGTCATTACACCAAAAATTTTGAACTCAATCATTTTGTCATCACTGTGGTCAAGACAACCACCTACCATCACATCTCCCATGAGTCCTTCTCTATTCACAAACGACAAGTCTAGGAGGTCATCTTTTTTCTAGTTGACTCACTGAGTACTTGTGACAAGAAGTTATCATTCACAAACTTCGAGAATTTCCCAGACTTGTTCATCGCAGCAGTATGATATTCCCAGTTGATGTCTGGGGGATTGAAGTCTCCCATAAGGACAAGGGCTAATGATCCTAATATGTTAGGCTGTTATAGTTCTGATTTTGGAAAAGAATTTTTTCTTCCCCTTCCCCCCTGCCGTGTGTGTGTGCTCTGTATATTGCCCATTAGGTGAACAAAAGAATCAACCCGAGCCCACTAATGGCCGATTTGTTTCCTTGACAACGAAGGGAGGGGGTTGGCTGGTGTGTGACTGGAAGGGGGGGTGGAGGCTGGGGGAGAGGGAGTCTCTCTCTCTGCCCTGGAGTGAGAGCTGGCTGCGGGCTGCAGACACTGCCGGGTTCCTTTGTCTCTTTCCTGTCGGAGGGGAGTTCTGGCTGCTGCTCTTGGCTCAACTCTGGCTGGCTGCAAGCCCTGCTTACAACGGACCCTAATCAGCTGAAGTTTGTGAGTTTTCTTCCATTGGGAGAACTTTCTGTTTTATTGCTGTTGTTTTCCTTCCCCTTCTTTCCCCCCCCCCACCTGGTGGCAGCCAAGGATCTCACAGCGCCGCCTGGTGACGGGCACTGGACATCACAAGTTCTACTTCCCCAGTGATCCAACAGTGCCACCTGGTGACTACAATAGGACACTACAAGTTTTTGCACCTTCAGTGACCCAACAGCGCCACCTGGTGAATGGTACAGGACATTACAAATTTTGCATCTCCAGTGACCCGACGGCGCCCCCTGCTGACTGTGGTTGGAACCGCACCAAAGGGTGCAAGAAATTGAACTATTTTTCCTTTTACTGGTTTATCGGTTTTGTTCTTGAAGGGGATTATTGGTGGTTATAGGAGTATTACTTAGTTATTTTACTTGGGTTTTTTTCGTGTTCCTGTTAATACACACATACCTTTAATAAAGGGCTGTTATTTTCCCTTTTCCATAATTTGTTTTTCCTTCAATCGAAGCCTCTTAATTTTGGATTTATAATTGCTTGGAAAGAGAAGTTTGGGTCTTTTCCTCCTAATCCATCCTCAGCAAAAGACCCTTGTCTCATTTAAACTGGGACATCGGCTTATTTTTATTGGTTTTCAGATTAAACAAGTGTGCCCCAATTTTCTCCAATGTTTTCTTCTCTGACCTTCCAGTTCACTGTAAACTTATGTATTTTTTCCCCTGAATGTTAGATCTAAAGTAAAACTTGAAATGTATGAACAGTAAATATTTGTGAGAAGATTCCATGATTTAACCCCAGGCAATAACTAAGTACCACGTAGATGTTCACACCCCCCCCCCCATGGTGGAATGGGGGAGAGAATTGTAAGGGTAAATGCTAGAAAACTCATGGGTTGAGATGTGAAGTGCTTAGCTGAAAAAAGACACACTATGAACAAACCATACTAATAGGTCTCAGTTAGGCCTGAGGCTGACATAGCCAGAAACCTATTTGCAGGCAGTGGAAAAATACAGGGTAGTGATAACAGACTGCAGGAATGTAAACTATGAGTAACCTGTGACAACAATAAGGAGGAGTTTTTGGACAAAAGCTATGTCTTCATATCGCGTGGACATCTCTATGCACCCAATAGGAAATGTGTTGGTAATGCACGCTCGGTTCATGGGTACAGCATATAACCAATAGTTTGAAAGTAATCACGCGCCGCAAGGCACTGAAAGTATATAAGAGGTCGGGTTATGTAAATAAAATGGAACATTTGCTTAAATCATATTGATTTGTGTGGTCTTGTTCTGGAAGCTCCTCTGCCCACATTGAGATAAAGACAGTTTAATAGGGAAAGCAAAAGCCGTGCACACAAGCAAAGCAAAACAAGGAATTGATTCACTACTTCCATTGTCACACAGGTGTTCAGCCATCTCCAGTAGAGCAGGGCTCTATCCCTCATAACAGTTACTTGGGAAGACAAGCACCATCACTCCAAACATCCCCCCTTCCTCCTTCTTTCCCCCCTCTTTATATACTGAGTAGACATCCTATGGTCTGGCATATCCCTTTGGTCAGTTGGGGTCACCTGTCCCAGGTGTGTCTCCTCCCAACCTCCCATGCACCCCCAGCCCCCTTCCCAGCATGGCAGTATGAAAAGCAGAAAAGGCCTTGGCTCTGTGTAAACCTGTAGCAAGCCAATGTGAGAACCTGAAAGAAGAAAATCAGAAAGGTCTGGGAAATGTCTAGATGACCTTGTATTGTTTTATCTAAATCCCTGATTTACTGTCCAGGGACGGAGCTGAGCTCTTGGTTTGCAATTTACCATGCGGGGGTGCGAATAAGGGTAACTTAAAACTCCAAGGTCTGTGTGCATGGTGTCTGTGTGGTCAGATGGCCTGTGTGTATGATTGATGTGTGGCTTGCAGCTGTGTTCTGCCTTGATTTGCTTAACCACTCTCAGTTGAAAGTGAATGATATAAAACCCCTGGATCTTTAACAATAAAGGGATTTCTGTCCATCAAGCCAGAGGTCTGTATGTCATTCCATCACATAAACCCTACTCAGCAATAACAAAAACATCTCTATATTTGCAACCCTGTGTTCAGCATAAATCCAAAACACAGCCCCATACCAGCCACTGGGAAGAAAATTAACTACCCCAGCCAAAACCAGCAGAGAAGCAAATAAGTGTTTCTGAAAGAAAATCAGACACATTATATATACCTAATGCACATTTTGTGCACAGTTTTTTATTTATTCATGTACTCCAATACTTTCTAAATGCAATATACATGTAAAATTTGAAAATGTATTGTACCATGTACATACTGTACCAGTGCTTTTAACACTAATAGTTGTCAATCCTGGTTGGGTCTTGTAAAACCAAATTGCCTGCTTACCTTTGGAGACAGAAGGTGCTATAAGGCATGCATGTAGTTCTCCAGCTACACAGAAGTCTTCTTAGAGGAGAACATCAAGTCATGTTCTAAGAAATGGTTGATGAGAAGTAAAATCATTTACATGTGAACTTGAAGCATACCTGAGTAGCACATGGAGGGAATGTGATGGCACAGATATACCTAAGCAAGAGTGTAATTCTACAAAAAAAGTGAAAAAATTGAGATGTTAAGGTAGTCAACTGTTTGAATCTACCTTTACATTTGAAAGTATAAAAGAATTAACATTGTTAGTTATATTTAGACACTCAACCTTAGAGTTCCAAGTTAGCAAATTTCAGCCATAATATCTGGACTTAGATTTAGACTGTGTCTATCTATGAATCAGACAAGTTTTTGTGGTTGTTTTTTTTTTAATAAAAAGTAAGGAAAGAAAACATTGCTACTACTGCTAAGTATGTTACTCTCCACGTGTATGCACTTGCACAGAGATATACACACATATATACACATATGACTGGGAAATATTTGCTTTTCTTTTGTTCAATAATAAATCTTTTTGGTTTAATGTGCTTTAGAATAATCCTGAAAATGCAAGTCAGAGATATACGTTGCCCCGGGTAAGGATGGATGTTTTAAATGTCAACCTGTCAGTGCAAGGCAAGTTCATAAGGTAAATGCCATAGCATCTATTGGGCCAACTAATGTAATGGGAAAACCAGACAACATTCGAATGCCGAATTCATGAAGATCTGACCTTTTTTTCCTAGAATAAAATTAGTCAAATGCATTTGTCTGAGAACATGACACCCAGGAAGATTAGACATACAGTTATGTCTTTATACTTAGACGCTTCTTATACAATCATAGCATCACAGAAATATGGCTGGGAGGAACCTCAGATCATCCAGCCTATTTGCCTCCCCACTACAAGATCAGCTACACCTAAGCCTTTTCAGACAAACATTTGCCAAATCTCTTCTCAAAAACTCCAGAATCATCTGAAGTGCCCCAGTGCTTTACAGTCTGCACTAGTACAGAAGTTTTCCTAAAAACTAACTAAAATATTTTCTGCTACAGTTTAAGGGGAATGTGGTTAGAAGTTGGGCCTTTCCACCTGGAATGTGATGCAGACTACAATTCCAGACTGTGGTGGTGTCGTGGTTTTGCCCAGCCGACCAGCCCCTAGGGCTGAGAATGGTTTTGTCCAGGTGAAGTTCCAGACAAGAAGCCAATTAAAACTCTCAGTATAGCCTTTGCTAATTACATCTTTAAGAAAACGGAAGAGAAGGTTTGTGTCGCAGTTGAAATTAGGGGCAGCAGCCATGTAGAAGAGCAGCGGGCCCAAGCAGGGCCAGGCTCCCTCCTCCCCTGACTTGGGCCAGGGGAGGGGGCAAGTGTAGCACTGAAACCTCCCTTTCTCTCTTGTAAGAGAGTGAAGAAAAAACTTTAAAAAGACTGACTACTTGAACGAGAAACCGCTGTAGAAGAAATTCCAGAGAAGAGATAACAAAGTGTCCAAGGTCGACGCTGGCAGCCGGAGGAGAGAGAAGAAAAACTCGAAGGGGAGGGCTGCTTCTTCCCCCTTTCGCTCTCCCTCCCTTCAGCAGGGTAAAGACTGAAAAATAAATCCCTACTACCTTGTAGAAGTTTGTTGGTGTGAGAAGACCCCCGTGCTGCTTGTGGAAGAGTTTACACTGGAATAAGTTGATGCATGAAGAAGCTGAGACTTCATGAGAGACCTGAGGTGAGGCAGAGTCCTGTTGAAGACTTTGTGACCCTTGAAGGGGACGATGCTTATGCCGGAGTGAGGACGGTTCGGATAAGCTTTGGGATCTCAGTGAGAGATCCATGCTGCTGGTGCTGGAGATTTGTGACCCTGAGAGAACCTCACACTGGAGCAAGATGGCCCAGGTGGGATTTTGGGATCTGTGTGAAAGATCCATGCTGCTACTGAAGATTTGTGACTTTGAGAGAGAGAGAAAGCCTTACACTGGAGCAGAAACGGCTCGGGTAAGGATGTTGGGATCCATGTGTGGGATCCATACTAGACTCATGCCAGAGAAGTCTATCAAAGACTGTTCTCCCATGGGGAGGGACCTCCATAGAGAACAGGGGTGGACTCTTAAACCATTATCCCCTGTAACCCCGTGGAAGAAGATCCATAGTAAGCAAGTGTCCCCTTGCAAGCCTATGGAAGAAAAACCTTCAGGACCTGGGTAACCCCCAGCCTCTGGCCTTAGCCCAAGAGGAGGGTAGGCCCAGCCCTGGAGGCCAACACAGAGAAGGAGAAAGAGTTCCAGCTGCGATGAGGGTGCTGCAGAGTTACTGGAGAGAGAGAGCTGGAACTCCGAGAATGGAGATGGAAACTGCTTCTCCTCCTTGGACTGATATAAAAAGGGGGGGGGAGGAGTATTTTCTGTAAATACATGGCACCTTTTACTTAAGTAAGATTATTGTAGATATAATTCTTTAGTAGTTTTTATTGTACTAGTAATAAATAGTCATACTTTTTTCCCCAATCCAGTCTCTTTTGTCTGCATAAACCTTCTCTCAACTGATTAGTAATTGTGTGGGAGGTGTGAAAGCAAATTGAGCCAGGGCAAAAACACAACAGGTGGTTCAAAAGCTTGTTGTGTATCTCCAGTGAAAATTTTGTTCAAGGCTTGTGTGTGCATATATTTGTGCATGAATAATGCAATAAAGGTTTAAGACAACAATGTCAAACAAAACAAGATCAATATAGGTTGCTTGTTATCAAAATAACACTGAGAAAATGAGAATATTTAGTTGCTATACAACTGAAAAGAGAAGAAAATGGCTGTTGCCTTGTAAAGGAATTTGCAGCTTTCTTGTAGGCATTCCTTCTAGTGCTTAGCCCAAATTGCCATGCCACCACCTCTGCGAGCTTGAGGTTAGCCAGTGAAATCCCCTTTGAGACTTACTGCTTTGGTGCAACAATGCCCCACAACTCTGTAATGTGTCTAAGCATTAAAAAAACCCCAAAACCTAGGGAAATTTTAAAATTCTGTAAGACACTGTTGCACTGTGTGACATGTCCCAGGTTTGTAGTTATCTCTGTTGTATAGAGGTATGTTGCCCCTGTTCCCCTAGCAAAATGTAACAACAAAGAAAGATTTTAGTGGGATTTCTTGTGGGGAAGGACCCAGGATCCTTCCTGGCTATCCCAAGGTAAAGGTTAAATGCAGTTGAGGAAGTGAGTGGAAAGCTCTTGCTCCTGCTATGTTTGTAATGGTAGTCATGCTTCAACCATGATTTACCAAGCATTAGTGTCACCCTCCAAGCATTTGTCAGTGATCTGAAGACTATTATCTGGTCTCTCTGTCCAATGCTACTGAGCCATAATAGAAAAATATTGCTCTTCTAATGTAACTTACTTGCATGAGCACTGCTCATGAGTTTGTAGAAGAGATGTGATCATCAGTACCAACCCATTCATGCCATTATAAATAGAAAGGATGAGTGACTATGAAAATTTCAATACTGAGAAAAACACTCAGAGGCCCTCTTTAGTGTGAGTTTGGATAATTGATCATTATTATTAAACTCTGGTGTTGATTTTAATATGCTACACGTGAGGTCATATTTTGTGCTGGTTTTTATGGAAGAGTCTGAATGCATGGAAAGAGTACATAGTTGTGATAAAGGGGCTCTTCCCATTGAGGACTGGCTATAGGAAGCAACAGTATCAAATGTATTTTATACATGTTATATAAGCTTTGTTATACAAATTAGTTTGATCATTTTTTTTATATTTTCCACTATATTTTAGCAAGAAATTTCCTATGTTTGTGACAGCTGTTTAATTTTCTTCTACTCATTTTCATTTTAAAGAAATATAAGTCTTTTTGTATTATAATCATTAGTTTCTTAGCAGGATGCAGCAGCCTTTTTCATAAGCATTACTGTTTGCTCATATTTTCAGTTATTGTCACAGAGACTTAAGAACTGTACAAATAATATTGTTTTCAATTAATTAACCTAATTTACTGTTACTGTTTAGAGAGTTTTTACAGGGTTGTTTAAGAGAAGAGTTTTAGTTGAACTATACTGTCATCTTGTGGTTGCTAGTGTTTCTGGTTCAAATTCACTCAAAAGTTTTCAAAGTGAAGAATGTGGATAGCATACTGTCCTGGTTTCGGCTGGAATAGAGTTAATTTTCTTCTCAGTAGTTGGTACAGTGCTGTGATTTGGATTCAGTACAGAATCATGTTGAAAACACAGTGACATTTTGGCTGTTGCTGAGCAGTGCTTATCCTGAGTCAAGCACTTTTCAGTGTCTCAGGCTCTGCCAGGGAGGAACTACACAAGAAGCTTGGAGGGAGCATGGCCATGACAGCTGACCTGAACTGGCCATAGGGATATTCCATACCGTGGAATGTCATGCTCACCACCTGCTGACCAATTGCATTGTTCATCACTTGTTTCTCTTGGGCTCTGTTACTGTCTCACTCTCCTTATAATTACTATTATTATTGTTATTGTTGCTGTTACTATTATTATTATCATTGTTATATTTGTTTTCAATTATTAAACTGTTCTTATCTCAACCCACGAGGTTTACTTTTTCTTTCCTGTTCCCCCCACTGGGGGGTTGGGATGGGGTAGAGTGAGCGAGTGGCTGTGATACTTAGTTGCCTGCTGGGGTTAAACCATGACACATACAAAAAAAGTTACATTTCTTTTGACTGCTTGGTAATGGATATTCAGGTAGTTTTTCTTCCCCATTAATTCAAATGAGGTGTCTATCTCTGCAAATCACGATGATATCCAGAAACAAAGGCATTCAAACTGACCTTCATGAAAATTTGGCCCTTGAATTCTTCAGTTCTCCTGCAGCCTTCCTGAGACATTGTTACCAAGGTTAAAGTGTTCAATATCCAAAAGGACCTAAAAGCATTCCTTTGACCTAAGAGATCACATTTAGAAATAAAGACTTTACCTTGTCTGCATCTCTGAAGATAATTGGTATCAAACACCAACTAGCTTCTAGCATATATCAAGCTTGAATCTTCACCATTCCTATGCCTTGCAGTCATCCTCACTTGCACAAAGGGCGTTCCACATGTGCACAAGTAAGTGATGCCAAAATGATGACATTAGACAGAAATTGTTTAGATATCAGTCTTGCATTTGCTACACACAAGTCCTTTTGTGGTAGTTTTAATCTAGGTCTTCCTTGGTGAGCATTTTGTAACCAAGGAAGTGGCCATGTTCCCAGTATTCCATACAATTTTTACGTAGACCAGGGTATAAATAAGAAGGGAGGAGAGGCCTTCATTCTCTTCTCTTCCCATGAGGTTCAGGAGCAGTGGATCCTTGCATTGGTCTCGCTTATCTAGAGGCTGAGGCCTGCAGCGACCACTGCTCTACCACGCAGGAGGCTTGGAGAGTGCTGGCCGTGTCTTGTGATCTTGTTTTTCTGAGGGACATGGTGAGATTTGTTTTGCTAGTTCTTTACTTTGCTAGTTCTTGGGTTTGATTGTGTATATCTGTTCTGTGTCCCTTTTTGTCCCTTTTTCCCCTTTCCCTTCGGGGGTGTTTGGATTCCCTTCGCTGTGTACATAGCATTTTAATTGTGTAAAACTGTAATATAGGTAAAATATATATTTTTATATAACTAGTTTGATTTCGGGTTCTTCAATTTTTATAGTTTTTTTTCCTTTGCCCTAAGAAAAGAAGGGAGGGGGAAAGGGTTGTTACTGTGAGTTTGGGCATTTGGCAGGGAGCCAAGTCTGAACCATCACACCTTTCAGCAGTGTTCAAGTGTCATAGAACAAATACAAATTCCACCATAGTCACATCAGGTACTGTATGGCTGTACTGCACCGTGACAATGGTCCTATGTAGTATGACACCAAACCTATGTAAAACAAATACCACTGAGGTTATTTGGTGCACATACCCACTTTCCTCTGTATTGCCGAGTCAGCCCTGGTTTTGGTCTCCCTGTCCCTGAGCTGGACTTATCTGTAAGGCTGCTCTGCTTTAGTTGTGAGGAGAGACTGGTAGTGACTGATTCTCCTCTTCCCCATCAAAGTGCCACAATAGAACAAGAAGGTCAGGAAGGTCCATGGGCCTTGGATAGGGTCAACTTGAGGCAGAGAGGCTTGTATCCCAGAGGGATGGAAGAAAAAAATGAATGAGTATGTCCAGTGTTGCATTTTGCTTCCGTTTTTCAACCCCAACCAGATAGGACAGGCAGCAGAACATGGTGCTAGGGGATACAGAAAGGCACCTGCTTCCACAGTATTCAATAAACCCTGATTGAGATGCTTAATAGGATCACAGTTTTGCTGGCACAACAAAGAATTTCTCCCATCACTGGACCTGACTGGACCAAAAGTGCTGGGCAGAAGCTGCAATGGGACTGTATTGGGTTTGCATGTGAAGAACTGAAGCCCATGGGATGGACTTGCATTGGAGAAGTTCATAGAGGACTGTCTCCTGTGTGAGGGACCTCATGCTGGAGCAGGGGAAGGGCTCCTCTCCCTGAGGAGGAAGCAGCAGCAGCAACAACATGTGAACTGACCATAACCCCCATTCCCTGTCTCCCTGTGCCACTTAAGGGGAGGAGGTAGAGACTCAGGAATAAAGTCATGCCCAGGAGGGAGTGGTGGGGGGAAGGTGTTTCTAAGATTTGTTTTACTTCTCATTATCCTACTCTGATTCTGATTGGTAATAAATTCAATTATATATCCTGAAGTCAAGTCTATTTTGCCCATGATGGTGATTGGTGAGTGATCTCTCCCTAACTCATGAGCCTTTTGTTAGATTTTCTCTCCCCTGTCCAGTTGCAAAGGGGAGTGATAGAGCAGCTTTGGTGGGTGCCTGGCAGCCAGCCAGGGTCAAACCACCACAGGGACATAGGTTGCAGTGACAGACTGCTGTTTCCTACACTGAAAAGACAGTCCTGAAATCCAGATGTGTCACCTAAATCGTTTGAACTACTTCCTATGCATTGAAGCAGAAGGGTGAATTAGCCAGTGCTGAATTTAGCTGGTACCATTCAGCAGTTGTTAGTATGTGAGTCTGTGTGTTTTGAGTAAGCTGGAGTTCACTATTAGCAGTGACCCATGACCTGCACTGCAGCTAAGAGCTTCTGGGATTGTGCTGGATCAGCCACATCTCTGCCCATTACCTACTGTATTGGGTCTGGCTGATCTGGAGTTCATTTCCCCATAGCAGCCCTCACAGTGCTGTGCTTTGCATTGGCAGCTAGAAGGGTGTTGATAACACACCGGTGTTTTGGCTACTGCTGAGCACAGCATCAGCACTGTAACATTCCTTCCTCGATCGAGGGCAAGATTCTGGGAGGGGACACAAGTAGACCAGCTGACCCAAACTAACCAAAGGGATATTCCAGACCATATGACATCAGCTCAGATATAAAAGCTAAGGAAAGGAGCAGGAAAGGGGGCATTCAATGTCTCCAATGGCTGCAAAGGGGGCATTCATTGTCTCCAATGGTTGCCTGCTGAGAAAACATTACACCTGCTGAAGCCCTGCTTCTCGGGAAAGTGACTGGCCATTGCTGCTGATGGGAAGTGGAGAATAAACCTTGTTATTTTTCTCTTTGCTTTTGTGCATGAAGCTCTTGTTTTGCTTTTGCTTTAATAAACTGCCTTATCCCAACTCATGAGTCATTTTCCAACTTATTCTCTCTCCCCTTTCCTGGCTGAGAAGGGGAGTGACAGAGTAGCTGGATGGGCCCCTGGTGTCCAGCCAAGGTCAACCCACCACACCTACCCTAGAAGTATTCAGTGCTCCTGAATACTAAAGACGATTTCATGATGATATAAAAAAAAATATCTTTCTTTCCTAACATGTATGAAGACATGTAAATGAACAAGATTATTTTTATCCCACATAGGACAAGAATAATTCCTCTGGCATATCCTTGCAGGTAGACAAACCAACATACTTCCTTTGGAGGCTGTTGCCATGGCATCTGTCCAATGTCTTCACAGCATCTTCCAGATTTTTGAGATCTAATGAGAAAGAAAGAGGAAAGGAGGCACTAGTTAAAAGACACATAGCAAGGTTGCTGGGAGAAATAAGACCCAGTCCAGCCTGTAGGATGTATTTACACTTTGACTTAATTGGGAAGTTTTTTTCTGTATGGCATTTCATCCATAGAACACAGAGGTTTTGCTTTTGATTTTTGGCAAGAAAGACAGAATTGCTATAAAAATATTTTCATTGTCAGTCAGGGCAAAATTAATTTTACCTAACTTCAGCCATCTATGTGCCTAGCCTAAGGGGGTTGTCTAAGCTCCTGTTAGAATTAATGGAAGGAGAAGGGTTCCTTGCAAGGATGATTTATACAGCCTATTTTAGACACCAAATTTAAGATAGAATGATTAACCCTTTGGCAGTATTTATCTCTCTCCTTTAACTACAACGGGACCATGGATGGACTAAATTCCTGGGTTTTCAGGTGAGGCAAAAGGAATATGAACAAAGAGCTCTGCCTTAGGTGTTATTCCAGGGATAGAAATTGCCAACCAAAATGAAAGAGATGAGTGAACAGCCTGGGTCACATCTTTGTGCATCTGGAACAATGCAGCTAAAGTAAAAATAGCTTTTCTCCCCATCCCTTACCCTTAGAAGAAGTCAAAAGTCTCACAGCATATAAATCAGCACCAAAGGAATTCAGCAAGAGGCCACGCTTAGAAAAAAAGTGAGGATAAATTAATATTGAGACAACCATACAAGACTGGTTTGTCCAGTAGTGAAAATGTAGCAGTTGGACATACCTTAATTGCTTTGGAGATTATGCCATGGGATGATGCCTTTTTCTGGATGAGCTCCATGTTACAAGGGTTCAACTGTCCACACATTTATTGTGCAAGAGTTCCTCTAAGTTTTCTGGCTTGTGGCAGGCCCAGACAGCTACATTTTGGAATAACTGCATTTTTAGTCAGCTTCAGTAAACCAAAAGCAGAAGGAATGAGATTTAGCCTGCCAGATAAATACCTACAAGAGCTGTTAGATAAGGTTATAACTATATAATCAAGGTTAAATACAATGGTTTTATTATCAATTTCTGACTTTATTTCAGACAAATGTTGAACAGGTGATAAGTTAAACACAAATTTCTTCAAGTTTTCACTGTACATATTATTTCTTCAAGTTTTCACTGTACATATTATTTCTCCAAAATTAACTTTTCTTAGATAAAATTGCCTATAGATTGTGAGTCTACTGAAGATGCGTGGTAGGCTGGCATGTAAGAATTTAAATTATGCTTCTGAATAAAACCCAATTTTGCATTAATGATGTCCATTGAGATGCTTTAGGCAGACTGTCACGTTGTGTATTCAGAGCTTGGGGGGGGACACACTGACAAAGCGTGCAGTAGGGGCTGTCTATCTTTTAAGGCAATTCACTTTGAAAGTATGTATTACAACCATGAATATCCTGTCCCTGAATTTCAGTCATGAAAATAGGCTTCACTTAATGTAGAAATAGGGCCAGGACTTGATTCTACAGCCTGAAGTGGAGCTATAGGCACCTGTGAATAGCAGCATAGGCACTATCACAGAGAAGATGCATTAGAGTTAAAAATTACGTACCAGTAAGGCAACTTAGGTGTGTTAAATGTTTTCTTGACATATCTACATATACATATACATATACATATACATACATATACATATACATACATATACATATACATACCCCTTAATCATTATTTCCAGGCCCAGTTGCACCATAGCCTAGGACACATTGTGATGCCTTAATAAACACCAGTTTTTAGGTAGTGTCACTGGGGAGCTTTTGGGTTCTGACCCCCGAGGGTCTCACCGAAGACACCAAGGCTTTCAGGGACTCCGCATGTCCCAGCAGGCCGGACCCGGCGGGAAGGGGCTGTAATAAACTATATTTTAAAGGGGATTCTTTTTTTTTTTTTGTTAAGCTTAGTAAAACTTCAGGACATTGATATGTGATTTCCGTTTGTATTTCCCACATAGCTGTTAACTGCTTCTAACAAGCTGCTGTTTGTTCCCGAGGCTGATAAGGAAGGGGGGAGGGAAGTCTGGCAGTGTAATTAACTACACCAGCTGGGGACACTGAGAAGCTTCCTCTAAACAAAGAGTCAAAGTGATTTATATAGACGATAAGACTGGAACGGGAGGAAAAATACCTATTAAAGGCGCATGCTCCAAGCCGGGTTCATCTTGCGGACATCGAGGAAGACTAAAAATCTTCATCACAGAGACCCCGGCCCACAAAGAAACCCCCAGACCACGGACGCCGGTAACACAGCCCAGGAACATGCATGGGGAAAACTTTGCAACTGAGCATGTGCAAAAAACACATGCCCCTGACTATGTATGGATAAGAACCTATGTACTGAGCATGTCTGGACGGGGACCCGGAGGGTTCAAAAGGGGAAGTTTGAGAGCTTGGGGGGGGCGGTGGCGGCGAGCTGTGAGAGAACTTTCTTTTGTTCTGAACAGCCCCCGTCCCTCCTCCTCCCTCTCCTCCCTCCCTCCCTCCCCTCCCCTCCCCTCCCCTCCCCTCCTCCCTCCCCTCCCCTCCCCTCCCCTCCCGGCGCGTGCCGATTGTCTGTCTACCGCTTATTAATAAATTTGCTTGCTATTGTAAATTGGCTTCTTCAATTCCTTTAAGGCATTGCTGGTAACCTATAACAGGGGCCATCACCGGAGGGGCTCCTAAACACAACTTGGAGTGAGGCCAATCAAGCAGAGCACTCGCTCTCTGCCGCGCCGAGCCAGGCCAGGTCAGGCCTTTCCAGCCGCACCACCGGATCGGATCCCTCCGCCGTGTCCAACTGGACACTCCCAGCGCTCCCCCGGAAGCGCTTGCCGGACTACAGCGGAAGCGGGGTGGGGTGTAACCTCTTTGGTGCTGGCGCCCGGAGAAGATGGTGAGCGCTGGGGCCGGGGTGTGGGGTATCTGTTCTCATCCGCCGCCGTGCTGGGCTCCGCGGGGCCGCGGGCCTCGTCTGGGGCGTGGGGAGGCCCTGTGCCCTGCTGCGGCCGGACTCAGCGGCGGCACGGCGCTGCGGGGCGATGATGCTGGGAGCTGAGCCTGAGGGCCTGGCGGTGGATCCCGTTCCTGGGCCGTGTGGGGGCGCGGGGCGTCTCGTCCTGAGCGAAGAGGCAGCGATGGGGTATGGGGG